CTTTCAAATTTTGCCCTGAAAGATATCCTGATATTGTTTGCATTTTACTTATAAATTAGACATCTTTACGTGAGCATTCACACAACATTTTATATGTGTGAACAGGGGGATGATTCATCATAACGCCGCTTCGTGATAATTTTGTCACTTCTGGTCATTGACGTCTTTCAGTGATTAATATACTAAATCATACGATATACCAACAACGTCAAATTATGTGCGTTATTTCATTCATCTGATGAACTTGAGATTTCTCAAGTCATTTCAGGATTTACTGTAAGAATTATTTTGTTAATCGAGAAATGAAACTTAAAATGAAACTCGCACTTAATTAATGATAACCGAGGGCTTTCATAAAGGTGTGTGATTTATATAATTTTGTTAAAGTTTCCTTACTCAGTGAGCAAAATAATATACCGTGTATTTACGATTTAGTCAAGGCTTATGATTAATTTTTTTGTTGTTGTAACAAACATGTTTTTATCATGTAAGTAAATTTAAATACGGACAACTATAAAGATGTACACAATTTCTAGGGAACGTTTCCAGAAGTCTCCAAAAATTCATGTATATGTTGTTGGAAGGCGAAAAACATTAAATATATCATTGAAAAATGAATCTCCTTTGTAATTGACTTACAAAAAATGTTATCCAAGTTCCTTTTGCAGACCTCGTTTGTCTCATTCGTAGTTATTCAAAACCTAGATGGGAACATATCATGTTGAAATAAGCTAAGAAATGAACGATTAAAGAGTCAAATGAAGAGTTTCAAAATAAAAATGAACTGCATCCGTTGTTTGCAGAACAGGTCCATAGAACGAGGCGGGGGGGGGGGGGGGGCTTTTCAAACCACTGCTCCGGGCTTGCAGAACGAACGGGGTGAGGAAATGCTGGCGTAGAGGGTACAAGGTATGGGTAGAGGCGCTGTGTGGCAGTAAGATAAAAATGAAGTATAAGTGTGCTGTATTCCCGAAGGTCAACCAAATTGGTTGAACCAATATGCAATTCCAGAGATAAAACAAATAATGAAGGAAGTGGCCCCCAATCTCAGAGACCTGGGAGTCGAACGTAGCCAAGACTGGCCTATATATATCCCAGACTAAAGATTAAAATTATACATGACTAATTAAACATTCATTCATTTATTCTCTCAAAAACTATATAAATGGTACAAGAAGTACATACATGCATATTTACAACATTTATGCAGAGATTATTTAGATTGAGAAGGACAGAGATCGAGTGTCATAAATTTTGATCACCATGATAAATATACACAATTTTCTTAAGAATGCAGGATCATTATTTGCCATCAAATCACAGAATTTTACAATATTTAATTTGGAAACACATATTTTTGTAACAAAAAATAATTTCCAAATATTAGTACCAGGTAAAATTTCTTAACTTCAAAGTTGGTAATTTCAACTTTCATTTTGGCTTTTCCAACTTTAAATTTGACTTTTGGTAATTCCAACTAAAAATATGGCGGTTGGTAGTTCCAACTCTCATTTTGGCTTTTTCATTTTTAAAGTTGGCTTTTCCAACCGTTTTGACCTTCATGCATTTCGTTCGTATACTTTGTAGTTAATTGGACTCATGTTGCTGTTTTAGAATTACATTTTTTTTTATTATAATTATGATGGAAGAAGAAAAAAAATTTTCATCGAGTTTTTAGGTACATAATTGAAACTTTTTTTAATTCATGATCGTTTGTCTTTGTGACATGAAATTTAGTGTTCATCCATCCTATGAATCAAACACCTATTATGTTAAAATTCATTTTCAATATATATATATATATATATATATATATATATATATATATATATATATATATATATATATATATATATATATATATATATATATATATGTTTGATCTCATTAAGGTATGGTTGAATGCTCTTATTTACAGAGTTGTATGAAGTTACTATATACTCTATAAAAGTGTACAAGACGGACCAACAGAAATATGAGGGCTTTTAAGGTTGAAAGTTATATGTAAGGTCATGGGAAAGGTGAAGGTAAAAAATAATTCATTTGACATTAATTGTTCATCAGCTTGTTTAAGTGTATTAAATTTGCATTAATAAAGATGAAATAATATTGAATAAAGAAAAGAAACCTAAAGTCAAAGAAAGGACTAGAGAAAGCTCAAATTAAAGTTGGAAAAGCAAACATTAAAGTTCGAATTACCAACCTTAAAATTGGAAAAGCCGTCTTTAAAGTTGGAATTACATTTTAAATTGAAATTACCAACTTTAAAAAAATTTACGTGACACTAATCTGATTCCGTAAATATTACATATTGCAATACATTCCAGTCAGTAGTGAAATTCTCCTCCAATTCGGTTATTATTACACTGATAACACACTCTTTCAACATTATTATTCATTTTAAAAATCTACGCAATGGGTAAATAAATGACAGGCGTTGACATTACGTAAGATGAGTGAAATATTCACAGGTATTGAGTACTGTAATTAAATGACTTCTTGATGTTTTGAAATGAAGATCAGATAATTACACGATGTTGTTTCTATAACCTTGTATATACAGATAAACAGTGCTTGAGATACAGCACTTTGTCTTTTTGTAATAACAGATCAAGTGTCCGAATAGTGTCACTCGTAAATAAAGAATTAGATTCGTTGAACTTATTGTGAGAAATAAAATATGACATAAGCAAGAAATTGAAAAGTAAAGTCCAAAATAAAGTTTTTCTGAAACTGCGAATTTTACACCTTGATAGATTTTATGATATAAATACTCCTCTGAGGAATGCATCGAATTTTTAAAAGATCCAATTCAAATTTGAGCTATTCACCTTATTTTGTACGAAACTCGCCATACGCACGTACCAAGATTGTCCATGCAGCAAAGATAGGCAGTAGGTTACTTATAATAAAACCTTCAAAACTCTTATGTGTATTTAGTAGATGTATCTCTCACTTTTGATCTCCTTGTTCAAACTAGTACTAATCTCAGTTACACCTTAAAAAACTGACGTCTTTGCCCCATCAGATGTTGTTTACGATTATTTTCATAACTAAACTTTCTCTTCAGCTTTAAGGGTTAGATTAATGAATTAATCAAATGTGCAAAAATGCGATTGGGGTTGCACTGTTAGATTCATTTACAATTTCTCTTTAATGAAGTAATAAAAGTTTTTCTTATGATTATGTATTGGTATTGGTGCAGCTATATAAAGGTTGAAGTAATAAACCATACGTGACGAAATGTGGCCTATTCGGAAAAAAAAACTTGGAGATATTCCAATAACTCCAAACAGTCATTAAAATATTAATTAAATTATCAAATGTGGTTCTTTTTGTTAAAAAAGAAATCATTATAGTACATCAAACGCTGCACCCATATGTATTAGCAAACATTTCATCTGAGGAAGCTCGTTGTAACAATAGACATAGCTAACATTAAGAATAAAACCCAGGACCCAGGTTTACCCTATCTTAAGGTAAACTAAGATGCATTTCATTCAGATTAGTTTTTCATTTTTACATACCATTACAAGATTTCTACATATTTTGGTTAAATATTACAATGTTTTATGAAAAGAGGATCTAACCCCTCTATATTACCTTGCCTATACCGTGACACTAGCAGTGAATAAAATGCAGATAAATTTTCAGCAGTGGAGACTTAAAAGACTTGAAGTGAAAGCTTCACACATTAAAAATGAAATATTATTTTTTGTGGGTTAATACGCATCATGTCTCCCGGCTGCTGAGGTTTTGCCAGGTGATAATCGGGGCAGATCCTTGCTGATCATTAATCAGATCGGACTGTGAATCAGCCATGACCTACCGTTCAGGACAGAAAACATTTGTAAACTTAAAAAAAAAACCCTGGGCTTAAATGAATCCCCCGCCTCTTTTGGCATGCTCTCTAAGATACACAAAATTTGGTAGCCTCCAAAAGAGTATAAAAAGCTTATCTAATTAGCAAAACATGTATTTGTTAGCAAAGGCATCCCAGAGAGGTGATGTATTTCTTTTTGTTTCTAATCTTTCTAAAGATTACATCATGTTTCATTTCATTAAGGCTTTAATCACTGAATTCTCTTAGTTTAATGATTCTAAAATTCTTCTATTTTTATTTCCACAACTAATTTGATGTAATGATGAAATAGTAAATGTAAATTTATTTTTTTTATTTGAATTTTCACATATGGTTTTAATTATGCCTTCTTTTTTTTCAAAGCTATACATTTAAATATAATTTGTTTACATTCAAAAATATATAACATTTTCATCATCAGTACTCACTTTTCACGAAACAGAATCAGTAATTATGATTTCAAATTCGATAACTCCAGACAAAATGTCTCGTTATTTATCTGATATGCATTATTGTACTTAAGATCCACTGCCCCCCTTAAGAAAAAATTCCGTTGCTTATGTTTATATTTAAGAAAAAAATATGTTACAACATGTAACAAAAGCAATGGTAGGGTCAGATTTGAAACCCCCCCCCCCCCCCAAAAAAAAAATGATTAAATGAATTTTTTAATTTTAATTTCTAAAATAAATCAAAATTAATCAAGAATATTTTTTTTGGAGCTTTATATTTTTGTTAAAGTGCATTTTCATTTAGATGCCAGTTGCCTCGTCACCCTTCTTTTTTATTGTGTTGAACATTCAAATTCAAGGATTAGAACAAAATGTTCCAAAAAGTAAGAGAAGGGTCCATTCCACCCCTGTCTACCCACAAAATGGTATTTCCGAGTTTGGACAGTTTACTTTTTTGACTCGTCAGAATGGGTTTTTTTTTCAATGTCAGTTTTTAGGAGGTGGAACACCACTTTTAAAACCGTTGCTACGGGTCTTTGAAATGAACATGAATAATATCAAAATGCCATGCCTTATTTGGTTTATGTTTAACTATGATGTTTAAGATCCCCACAGATGTGTTTCAAATGTAATTATTTCATTCTTAAATACGATTTCAGAATTTGGGTATTTAAAAAAAAAATACGGAAACATCATGAACGGCTTCCTGCTCGTGACGTTATGTTGCTTAGGAATGGTGGCAGCGCAGGACAACTTAATTAGCTTCCTTGGTAAATCTCTTGTTTGAAACATGTTAACGGATTTATGTTTAGTTTCTAGTTATGTGTTTTAAATGAATTAAACGGTAAGCTTACTAAACCTACAGTGTAACCCCTAACAATATGAAGAATATATTGAGGAATATATTACTTACCATGACGCATATCCGGCTTTACATATACATGATTATTTAATTGCTTTATAAGAACTAAATTAAAATATGGAACCATTTTTATCTTTTTTCACTCTTGTTTTATTCTTGTTAATAATTCTTGTTTGCTATTAGCAGCATATTTCGAAATATTTTTGTAATATTCTGATGGATTAAACTGCACTTATTTGAAAAGATTCAAGATAATTTCAGTTTTATAAAGTATTATAATATTGATTAATTTTTTCTAGGGTATAAATAAATACCTTGTGTTCTGATTGGTAAATTGAAAGTAATAAATAAATAAATACATTAACATATGCATGAAAGAAGAAGTGCACACAATTTTTCTGGAAGTATTGTAAAGTACAATATATTACAAATGAAATGAGACTTCATTTTGGTGCAAAAGTACAGGTCTGTACAGACTTTCCTTACAAGATAAATTGACTCTTAATATTAATAGCGATAACTTCGTAATAATCAATTGCTATATTTTCAGCAATGAAAAGATTATTTGATCAAGCCAACCAACAGCCAGGTAAGAAATAAGAGATCTCTTAACCTTTTTGTCCTGTTATGGTCTTTATTACATGTATATGTGAATAAATTCTATATATACCAAAAACCCATGAAATAAATAAATATAAATAGATAGAGAATAAATAAACCTAGGGAAGGAATATACCCTTAAGTTGTGTATGAAAACTATATGATAATCATATTTAAGTATCTAGAATATTAATGCATGAATGCACCACGAGACTAGTTAGACCATTAGACACAAAAATTAATTACCAGTTCTTTAGATTAATTACCCAGGATTTTTTTTGCTTTGGACTTTTGTAATTTCTACCTCCAATTCCTTTGATATGCCCTGAAGGCCCTCAAATGATGAAGAGACTCGAGGAACAGGTTTGTAAAAACGCACCTGTTAAGGCGAATCTAGTAAAATTAATGAAAATAAAATCAACATTTGATGACGGTACTCGACAAGAGAATTGTTTTCTTTTGAAAATGAAACAACTGAAAGGGCGTTTAAAATGGTCTACAAATTTTGACATTTGAAATGTGTAATATTTACTTCTAGAAAACTATGTTATGTTAATTTTGGACGTATGATTGATTGCGGGAATATTGTAACATGTCATATGATTACGACCAATTAAGTGATCATGTACTGGAATATTTTAATTACTTTTTCATGACGAATTTCGTCTTCTTTATCTAATATTTCAAATTCTTTGCACATGTTAACTTTTTCTACCTCCCCATTTATGAAAATGACATAATTTCATAATTAATGAATCCCTTCTTTTTCATTAAGGAACTGCACAAAACACGATAGCTTCAAAAGGTAAGAAATTAATTAATGTCTACATTAATTAACTTAAAATATGGGAGCAATCATGACATGTCACATAGAACGGAGGAATGATAAATCTGATGTGGGGAGATAAGGCTAAAAGAACAAACTTGTCCGAAAAAAAAAACAATTTATCTTATCCCTGTGTCCCTAAGATAAACAGAGAAAATATATAATTAGAACAAGCAGTGTCTCTTCGTTTGCTGAAGTAATTTGTGATTACATGTGTAGAATAGAATACACATTTAGTATGTATAATGAATGATAATTCAATTTTAGGGAAGGGAAGCAAAGCTATATATAATCAACATGTTTTAATTATTATTATAAAAATATTATGCCAATGAAAGAAACCAACAAAAAAAAATAATAATAATAATAATTCATGATAATTCATAATAATTCATGGTCGAAGTGCTTCCAGCATGTTTCAGAATCTCAAATGAAGAACTGAACTCATAAAACAAAGATTTGGACATACATTTATCCCAAAATGTTAAATTATATTAAATTGTTCTGGTACGATCATAACTCTTTCATTGGAATGGCCCGAAATTAACCCACAAGATCGTTTGTTCAGAAGGGATTTGGGACGAAGCGGAGAGGGGTTGCCATCGTGATCATGAATACAGTAGCATATTCTAAAATAACTCGAGCTCTAAATTTATTTATATGGTTATACAAGAGAAAATCTTTATTACACATTTCCGGCCAACAATCTTTATCTTAAACAACCTAGATTTATTAAAGTTCAATCAATTTTATACAACAGTTTTTTATGCCTTCCACAAACCTTTAGAAATGACAGACATTCTATATACCATAAGGATATTTTTTAGGACTGAGCACCTCAGACACTCCAGGAACTACCGGAAGTCAAATGTTTGGAAGAACCAGCAGAAGAAGCAACATGTTCCGAAACCCCATGAACTGGTACGTTATGGATCAAATGGTGGACATTCCAGACGCTATGATGTGGCCCCTCCTTATGGGTGGTTTTAACTAGACTTGGACTGAATATTTTGCCTGATATAGAAATTAATTTGTTTGCAGTTTACAAATAAGCATATTTAATTAACTACAAGTTACATAAATACAATGTAGAACAATTTTTTTTTTCATTTTTAAGTTTAATTTTGTAATCTAAGAAAGTAACAACTTTTTTTGAATATTTTGTTTCGTCTTGGAATCAAAATTAACTTACTAAACATTTGCTTTAGAAACTGCAAACAAACATTTTTGTATACATGGCAAGTTTACGAGTACATGTATTATTCCTAGAGTGGAAGATGTTACATTTTAAACGCAGTTCTAATCTGAGTTCAGAAAGACACAGTGACGATATCATATTCATTTTCTTTTATCTCAATTATTTATATTACATTTAAATTCTATGTTCATGAGTATTAAAATGTGTTGAATTCTTGTTTCGTTTAATGTGTTATTTTTTTATGGCAGGGATTTGTTTATTGAAGGAGGTTTGCAACGTTTGCAACAAGGTAGCAATGTAGATATATAATGCATAACAAATACGTGTACCTCTTAAGCGAGATTGCGACCCTTCTACCCTGCAGTATAGTTGCAATATAGTTTTCATTAGTGAAGTACTTCTCAGTGCTAATACATGTAGCAGTTCATTGATAGAATATATCATAGGCATTACTGTACTTACTCAGATTTTCTGAATTAAAGTAGTAGCAGATGATTGTATATGGTTGGAAGACTTTGCAGCTTATCCAAGAAAGAAAATTTGAACATTTTGACAATTTACTCATTTGATTAATCATCGTGAGTATTATTCATCACAAGGTATATTCTTTTGTGGAGGGCTATATAATAATTCAGAAAACAATAATTAAATGTTAAATCTAGACATTACCTCTCAGATTCCTATAAAATAGGATCGAACGTTTTCCTCATAGACTTCTATAGCAAAATTCAAAAACAAATAAATTAACAAACAAAACAAAACAAAACAAAAAATCCGAGAGTTTTTATATATGGTTTTATGTGTTTTACAATTGCATACCATTTTTAAAAGTGCTCAATACGAAATTTAGATATGAGGAAAAAATATGTTCTCAACGAGCATTTGTAGATTACCGAAGATCTCAGAATTTTAATCAAAGATCTTAAATGCCCATCACGTAACATGTTGCTACAAGTAGGCTTGAGAAACATGCTTTCGAAGCATGAGATATTTTTATTTTAGTATTTTCTGTTACTGAACGATGATAAAACGATGATAGAATACATGAAATTTATTCTCAAAAAATTAGTAATGGTTAAAAATTCTGTCAATATTATCATAAATACAAAATTATTTCATAGAAACTAAATATACTCTTCCTCGATGTAAATTATTAAATACTATTTATAGTTGTAAATTGAATGTTGATATTTATCAAAGCAACTTTAGTGATCCCCTTGGTTGCTTGTAAAAAAAACTATTAATCATAGCAACAATTTGATAATATTTCTCTAAGTTGCCCGAGTTTATAAACATAATAACAATGAACTTTTTGATAGCATAAGATTTATTTATACACATTATAGAGAATTTCAATATAATTGTTCTCATAAATGTTATTTTACATCCATTTCTGAAGAACAGGGGTTTCTATGTTTTACAATATTGAAAATTATTGTAACTTTGACCAATTAAAAAATAAAAATGGGGATCCTCACTGCTATAGTGAAATATATTTTACTCAAGTTCACCATTGCTTCTTATAGCATCAAAGCTTTTACTATGGTAAATCAAAGTGATTTTACAATGAAGTTCAAACTGTTACATGTAACATATTTCATTTTCCCTAATTTTTACATGAAATATATGGAGATAACGAACAGTATTCAAGCTCAAAAGTCCATAAATCATTACAAAATATGAGCAGAGCAAACGCGAACCTCCAAAACATCAGAGGTTGGATCAGGTGCCATGGAGGAGTGAGCATCCCCTGTCGACCGGTCACACCCGTCATGTGCTCCTTGTCATGATCGGGAAATATGGGGAAAATCCGTCGACAATTCAGTGTGTAAATAATCGCCTAACAATTAGTATGAAAAAAGTCAGTCAGCATTTGACTCAATGATAAATTGTATTTGCTGACAAGGTCATTGTATCGACCATAGAACTTACGAAATGATGACTTTAAATGAGACTGCTGATATTCTTGTTTCATCAACTTGTTTGTCAATAATAAATTGTACATACGTAGAGCATGCTCTTGCGTATCGAATCAACTGAGAGATATAAACCCCGTATGCAGGTGATGAATATATATTGCTGCATAAGTAAGGGAAGTTGACGATTGAAAAGTTAAAGTCATCACGTTTATCATAAAGCTTGGTTGTTAGATTACCATTAACGTCTTTTTCAAGTAAAATATTCAAATATGAAACAGATTTGTCAAACTCTGTGGTATCTTTTATCTCAAGCTCACCGAGATATATCGTATCGACATAAAAATGGAAATAACCATTGTTAATTGACAATACGTCATCGATATATCTAAATGTCGAGTTGAAGACCACAGCGGGTTTTTTCTTCTTTTCACGTATAAGATTTTGGACAAATTCGGTTTCAAATGAATACAAAAAAGGGTCAGCTAATAACGGGTCGCAATTGGTACCCATGGGAATTCCAACAGATTGTTGGAAGACCTGGTCTCCAAAAACCACATAGATATTGTCAATCAGAAACTCAAGCATCTTTTTAATGTCAACTTCAGAATACTTTTGTATACAATCTGAATTATTTTTAACAAAATAATTTTGCAAATGACCAATGACAAGGTAAGTTAATCTACGATTTCCATTTTTATTGAAAAAGCAGCTGTCAATGATATCAAAAAGCCTGGACTTTAATTTATCGTGGGGAATGGTTGTGTATAAAGTTGAAAAGTCGTAAGTTTTTCAGCTGTTGATTTTGGTAAAATCTTGTGATTTCAAATTTTCCAAAAGTTCCTTGGAATTTTTAAGTATCCACATCTGATTTACACCACTTCTCGAATATATTGTTGCACATTGCTCTTGAAGTTTCTCCTTCACTACCGTTAATATCTTAGTGAGGCGTAAAGAAAGAGGCTTGGTTGAACATTTACTGGAACCCGCTATGTATCTTTGTAAGGATTTTTATGAAGTTTTGGAATCCAATATAGATATGGAAATTCAAATTCATTTTGGTTGTTTGGAATATTAAAAATATTCAAAACTGACATATGATATGTGACTTTTTGATATCGAAAGGAAATATAAGATGTAAATTCACATACTATTCATAACATTTACATAATTGGAATGACATAGGGATATTAAGAATATAAATCTCAAAAAAAGTTTTAGAGTAAAGTTTCACAGTGAATAAAAATGTACTATAGTGAACTATAGCTACTTATTAGGAATATATACCTAGTACTCTTTTTTCATCAAAATTTTCAAAATCTTGGGGATCAGATTGTTGATTGACATTGGACATTGGACCAGATATTCGTCCCTTCGAAAGGGATGAACTATGTAAGTATGATTGTTGTGTGTGCATTGTCGACGATACTTATCTTTAAACTATGCTAATACATCATTGATAAACTACAAATGATTCTGCATACGTAATGCAAACATAAATCAAATTTATTTACCAGAAAACACATTTAAGTGTTCCAGATTGTATGTTAATAAAAAAGTTGGTAATGGATAATTTTTGGATGGGTCTAATTTTCGAATAATTTAAAAATATATCAAAGATTTGAAATTTTGACATTTTAATGATGAATGTTTAGAGTGGATAACAAACAGCGATCGATTTAAAAACCTACAAACATCACATATGTGACAGGGCATAATTCACGAACCCCTGGGAATTCCAGATGTGAGATTAGGTGCCTAGTTGTATGCATTTCTTGTCAACCGGTAAGCCGTGAGTCCTATGCACCGATCAGGTTTACGGAATATTTGAGGTAAAATTTAATATTTAATCAAAGATCTAACAATTTGTATGAATATGGCAGTCAAAATACGACCAAGTGATAGGTCATATTTGCTAACAAGGTCATTATTACGACCGTAGAATTTACGAAATTCTTACTTTAAACGATGTTGTTGAAATCCCTTTAACAACTTATCTATCCGTCAGTAGCCTGTCTTATTATTAATTGATAAAACGTCGTCAATATATCTGAATGTCAAGTTGAATGGTACAGCGAATGTTTTCTTCTTCTCATATAGAGGTTTTGAATTAGTTGTGCTTCGTAGGAATATAAAAATAAGTCGGCTTGTAAAGGAGAACAATTAGCGAACATCGAAATTCCTACAATATGTTAGAAGACCTGGTCTCCAAAACAACACAGTTGTTTTCAATAAGGAACTACAGCATCCTTTTAATAACAATTTCAGACTACTTGCGTGTAGAATAAGAAAGTAGTTCTGTTGATGACAAATCATAAGATATGAAAATTCCCGAGTTCCATTTTTATTGAAAAAGCAGTTGTCCTTGATATAAAAAAATCTTGTTTTTATTTTACCTTTAGGAATAATTGCATAAAGCACAGAAGTCATTTGTTTTTACGTTACTTTTCAAAAAAGTTTTGCTTTTAAATTTTCTAAAAGTTCTTTGGATTTTTGAGAATCCACATTTGATCTAAACCACTTCTAGAATATACTGTAGCACTACATCTGATGTTTCCTCTTTAAAGCAATTAAATATTTGTGAGGAGTAAAGAATGGGGCTTGGTGTAGCACGTGCTGGACCTTCCAATGTATCTTTGTAAAACGTTTAGGAATCCTGTACAGCTAGGATAGACCTAGGTTGACTGGATTGTTGAAAGTATTAAAGTCTGAAATGTGATTTTAAAGAATTTCATCCAGATGTAGTATTAAATCAAGTTCTTCTAAATACAGTTGTTATAATGAGCCTAACAAATATGATATTGCAACAAGCCATAAAGATATTTCTGTTGTTAACTTTAAACTTCGATTAGATGGTTTTTGATACTGTATGTTATATCCTGTCATCCAAGGTATTTGATCTTTTAATAACATTAGAATTTAACGAATATATATGTCCGGGTAATGTCACTTACTTGGTCAATAATGATTTTAATATTTTGTGTGCATTTTTGTCATACATATATAATATGGTGACAATATTCTGTTGTAAAAAAAAAAGAGGGCCTAAGAAAATCAGAAAAAGATTAAGAAGTATAACATTTTCAATACTCACAGCATGCAATCTGCATTCCCAGATGCAATCAGCATTCTCAGAGAGAAAGGAGCATTCCGAGCATGCATTCAGCATCCGCCAAAAAAAAAAAAGATAGCAAATCTCCAAGCATGTAATCAGCATTCCCAAAAAGCAATCGGCATTCGAAGCAAGCATACAGCATTCCCAGCATGGCATCAACATTCCAAGCAAGTTATCAATATTCTTCACTCATGCAATTAGCATTTCCAACAGGGAAGTAGCATCAGCAGCATGATTCCAGCATTTTCGGTATACATACCAAATTGTTCTGGATCAAAAAATATGTGTTTTATGATTTTAGAAAAATGTTCCTTAATGAGAATACACTTTTTCCTTTATTGTATTAAACCAATTAAAAAAAATACGTGATAAAGATACCAGATAACAAGAATGAAAAGAAAACTTAATATTGATATTGATATTTGCATCTTGGCTTTAAAATGATTACATTGCTATATTTTATAATTTAGTATTCATTTTTATTCATTGTTTGAGGATTTAAAGCTCCAGAGTAATACTTAATCACATGAAGATTCCATCACCATCTGGTGTCAAAATAAGAAAAGGAGCAGGTCTGTATCGGTGCCAACTGCGACACGAACCTTATTCTTTTCCATCCCCATTCAATACCCATAATTCCCTCTGATGCTTTCGTTTGGCTATAGAACAATCACTACCACCTTAGAAGTACTAGTTTGATCCGAATGGGAGTCGCTTAATGATCTATTTGAAGGAAGTCATTAGTTCTTTAGTTTGGCTCTTGATGCCCTACCACTGCGCATTTAAGCAAAAAATTCAAATTTGAAAAAAAAAATCACGTAGAAAAATATGTGTTTTGTTTGAGCATATAAAATCAAAATACTGTGTATGACTCAGAAAACTTAAAAGAGATTGCAGTCTCTGAGATCATCCAAAATATTAACTGTCTATGTCTGGTGAGTATATTGAGGTATAAAAGTGTAAAGGCAGAAGAAATCGTGTTGAAAAAAGAAAATATGTTGTTTATTTTGCCACCATGCCAATAAGCACAAACAAGCTGGCCTATTAATGGATAGATAATTAAAATTACATGCATGAACTGATTCATAGAGGTAATTAAACTATGGAAAGCCATGTCAATGTTCGAGCAGTTCAGAAAAATACCCCAAAAGAGTTTTTTTTCTCTCTAAATCCTGTTTACAATTTTAAACCAACGGTTTTTGAAGCCCTTGGCTACTTTACATCCGGGAGACTGCGCACAGTATATCATCCTATGTATCAAAATCTTGGTCAACGACCATAGAAGGGATAAAAGTAAACCAGAAGAGGCAAATCTTCAACAAAAAAGAACGTGACTTTTCCTTTGGTTCGAGCCGAAGGTGACTTCAGTGCGCAATAATTTTGGCACTTTGAGCACAGATTAAAAGGACTTTTCTGACTTCAGATACCCTGGAGGAGCAGATTACAAATGAGAGGTGCAGCGTCGTCTAGATTACTTAATATGAATTCATCCTGTTACTCATCCCATTCAAACAGAGGATTTGCAGCAACACCAATCATTTCAGACAGGTAGGATTAAATTTATAATATCCGTCTAAGTACGAGGGTTGTCCAGCAAGTCTGTAAAACTCTACTGATGAACATTCAATATTAGAGAAATAAATCATTTGATGAGATTTACTTACTTTGTCAGTATTTAATATATATATAAAAAAAGAGAAGGGTACGTTATTAAATATGATAAAATTGGTATGCTTCTTCACATAAGCGATTGTTGATTGATTCCCTATCCCTTTATTTTCTTCCACTAATATATGTCTGATTCCACATGCGGATTTTTGAGTTATGGAAAGTTCCAAGCTAAAAATCATAAAAACAAGCGAGTCCGTAACGTAGCTTGCTGCAGCAAGTTTTGTATTGGGTCAAAAAATCGTACTATTTAGTATTATCACTCTTTGAGACTATTTGACTTTTTCCAGTCTCTATTGAACTGCTCGAACTTTCAGGGAAAACACGTATCCATTCTATATCTTTGCAAAATTATTGAAACATACCAGTCTGTCCTTTTTTGTCTCTGAAGGATATTGAAAGAACAATACAAAATTTTAATGACCCTGAACAGATTTGCTCGAACGTTCTATGTCACTTTTTATGCGTTTACAAAAACTCTATATCTTTAAATCAGTTTTACTGTTCTAAACTTAATTATGAAGGACAGGTTAATGTGAAGTAATACCTCCAGGCTACGGTAAAATAAGTATTATATAATTCCGATTGGTTTAAGTAAGTTTTTAAAAAGGAAACGTTAACGGATTTTTAAATATGAGAATTGATTCATAAATTTTATGAAAAATTATGATGCCATGTGCACTCATTCAGAGATTTCGATCGTAATCTTAACCTTAAAGCAATATTACAACCCAACAAATATTTTGAAATAAATCCAAATGCTTCTCGATATATAGATTAATGTATTAATCAGGAGCAGTTATGTTTTGGACAACTAAATAATAAAAAATAAATGATAATAGTAAGTGACCAAATTTGATTGTATACAAATGATAGAGGTGTAACAGGAATGAAAAGAGGTGAAAATGACGAACAATGATCGACCAAAACAATCTGTATGAACAGGGCATAAATCACCTCCTCCCCCCCCCCCCCCCCCCCGAAAATTCCAGAGGCGGGATCGGGTGCCTAGGAGGAGTATGAATTCCCTGTTGACAGGACAAACCTGCCCTAAGTATTCATCAAGTAGACGGAATTTCCGTAGTCAAATTTTATATTAAGTCAAAGACCTAACTATTGATGTGAAAAACATCAGTCAAAATACGACACAATAATGGGTTCTATTTGCTAACAAGGTCATTATAACGACCATAATGTTTACGAAATGCTGGTTTTGAACGTTAAAATCCCTGTAACATATTCTTGAAAATATTAAAAAAAAACTTGGGAGACACGAACCCCATATGCAGGTGATAGCGGAATATTATTATATAAATAAGGAAAGTTGACGATGGAAAAGCTGAAGTCATCTGGTTTGTTATATAATTCAGTTGTTAGTTGGCCCTTATCGGTTATAGTGTCAGTAAAACATCCAAATATGAAACAGATGTAGCTGACTATGGTGTCTTTTATATGACATATGAATGGAGATAACTATAATTGTTAATTGATAAAACGTCGTCAGTATATCTGAATGTCTAGTTGAAGGCGACAGCAAGTATGACTTATTCAGATAGGAAGACAATCATTTTAGAACAATGTATAAGTGGCGATTCTGAAATCAGATCACCTTACTTCAGAAAGTGCCATATTATTAGCAACATAATATGAGGCAAGTTAGGGAACACAACTTTCTATAAATAAGCCAATTTAAAATACTAAACAAGTATAGTATAACAAAACTATTTAAGTCTGAGCTTACTTTCAGACTTAAAGTATGTCATTCCTGAAATGGATATATCTTCTTTATGAATTTTTGAAATAGGCACCTGTATTTTGAAAACCTTTGTACGGCTCCAAACATCTGAACTAATAATAAAAAAAAATCCTTTAATTTATAGAGTGCAATGTATTCAATTTGTCTTGTCATCTTTTTAACCTAAGGTTCTGTATATTAATTCAGTATTTTTCTTTCTTTCTTATTATTTTCTTACATTTTTTATGTTTATAATTTTTGTTTGTTTGTATGTCTGTTTGTTTGTTTGTTTTGCTTGTTTCTTTTTGTGTCCCTAATATGTCATAATATATTCTCATCCTATGGTCATTATAACGACCTCGTTTACAAATACAACCTATCGTAGGATCGTACTTTGCCTATATTTCATAAAAACTGTACGGTTATTGTTTTTATACTAAATTTGACAACGGCTTACTCTGTCTACCCGATCAATATAAACGGCTCACGGAAGGTGTGACCGGTCGTCAGGGAGTGCTTACTCCTCCTAGGCAACTGATCCCACCTCTGGTATTTTCAGGAGTCTGTGCTTTTTCCCTGTTCTTGATTTGTATACTTATTGGATTTCTGAGATTGAAGACTGTTAGTTATCTTCAACCTTTACCCATTATTTAAGGTCTTTTTTAAGTAAAACTAAATGTCAGGAGTGCAACAAGGTAAATTAGGATTACTTTAGAATCTTGTCCTATTTATAAGAAAACTTTATATCTCACTTCTTTTTTTATCTTAGATTTTAATAACTGACTAATTTCACACACACAAAAAAAAAGAAACTTTGGGAAATTAATTGCATTATATTTCTTTCCTATTAAATCTTTTCAAACGAAAATTGAGACGATTAGTTTCAAATAACAATCATAAAGCCATTTTGTCACATATACAAGCCACTTTTTTCACATTTACAAGTTTAAATCTAATCATTTGTATCCTTCACAAAAGTTCGAAAAGAAAAAAATCTTTTGATCATAAAAATTCGAAAACTTTTATATTTATTTGTCAATTTTACTGTAATTTTAGAAATGTATGTACAACAAAATGGTATAATTAAAAAAATGGTATGGTCTAACAGTTGATTTCAATTTGCTGGACATTATTTTTCAATTCACCCATATATGAGTTATACTTTTTCTCCCGAATTTCTACTTTCACAATCGAGGCAAAACAAATTCCAATTATAATGACTTTTTTTCCTTTTTTTGTAGAAATAGCTTGTATTTAACAACACAATTGATAATAATTTGTGACGAATGTGTTTTTTTTAAGAATTTTGTTTGTAAAATTCACAGCACTGAGCCTACTGGCTTTCAGACTTCAGGAATATCATTCTTGAAACTGGATACATCAAGGACTTTTTTTGAAAAATATATCTGAGATATCTAGATATCTACTCATATAGTATAACTCAAAACTGGAAAGAAAAATGGTTGCCATTATGCATATCACTGAGCAACATGCAATAAAGTTGATGTTTTTGCAGCTAAATTATAACTTATAATTTAAAATCAATCACTTAATTATCAATGCATTTTATTAGATGTAATCATGATGATAGATATAATCTTATTTTATGTAAAATAGTTTAAATAAAATATATTTTGGAGAAAATATGCCGATTGATGCGTGTGAATTATTATTTGACCTTTTGCACTAATAGCAAAGCATTTTTGGGTATTACAAAAACTAAATACTCGATATCATATTTTCCTTTTTCAAGCTTTTCATGATTAAAGTGTTGAGAGGTAAGAAGTATTGAATAATTTCAGAGCGTGAAATAAAAACTTACCTGTCACAATATGCAAAATTTAGGGTAAAAACAAAGTGAATTTTTGTTGATTGTATTAATATATCTGAAGTTTTTGGCAAAGTATGTTGACAAAATGTGTAAAATTTGTTCCTAAAATATCATTTGAAACCTACATTGAATATTCCTAGCATATTATAGTATGAAAATATCTGTGATTAAAAATATGTCGGACCAAAGTTCCATCATTAAATGATTCACATCTGTACATTTTGAGAATTTTCTTCTTAATGTCCTTAAATATAAAATATACGTGGATAAGGATAAATTTCTGGATCTTACAGTACCTGTATGTGTAACTTATTCAAAATTAATTGTATCTGATTCATTTAGTAAAATGTTGTAGTGGTATATAGGTAGAATTTAACAATTGCGATGGATTTTAGTCTGTAAACATACCCATCCAACCGCACCCACCCCCTATTATGATATCCGTGAGTATTGCCAAACATACAGAGTTAAGGCTTTTTTTGAGAATATTCAAATATTCTGTTAATTGATATATAATATCTATATAAATTTGAAAAATGACTGAAACTTGAATACTTTTGGAAACTGACCTGGAGGTAGGCGGCAAAACAATTATATCCTTCGCAGTCCTTTCAAGGCAAACAGCATCTTATATATACCTTAAAGTTGTCAAAGGGACGTTAAACCATACTAAAGATGACAGAAAAAGAATTTGTTTTGCCAATTAAGATGATTAAAATAGATTTTTTTGCATTTGTGTCCCATCCTGGAAGGGTAAACCACATCCTACCCTCCAAAAAGGGATTTAACTAAATTAAAATATCAACTGCTAATCTGCAAATAAAACTGTATAGCACTTAAAGAAAGACAATTAATGTAAACTAAATAGTTGTAAAAGAGGAGAGTAAGCGCCAGCTTCAGGTGTATACCAAAAACTCTTCTTATTAAAGTGGAGGAAAACAGTGGAGACCACTGTTTCATTTTTGAATACAAAATTGTTCTTATGACATGCCTATTTTCAATAGAATAAAGTTAGTATATATTAAAACATTGGCAAATTTAATTAGGAAGCATAATGTTTACTTTACGTATTTTATTTTATTATTTTATTTTTAGAAAATGCATTCTATAGTTGTACTCCTTTCGCTGATGGTATGTACATGTGTGACGTCACACTCCCATGTAGGAGCACAATCCACAGGTAAGACTACGGATAATCCCATAATACTCATACCTACATAATACAAGATAAATTAATTCAGGCACGATACCCTAAGATACTCGCACGATGTGATGCAATCAGGATACAAGGTACACGCGGTACACACACAGGGTACTTATATCCTTTAGGAGACACACACGATATGATAGGATGTACAAGCACGGTACTTCAGAATGAACGAAGTGATACGTAAACGCAAGACCTGATAAATTATTTACAAGGTTAACGAAAAATCTGATAAATGATGTTAAACAGTAGGCCTAATGGAGACAAATCCTGTCTCTAGCGCTAACGGGCTGTATGAAATAAATATACGAGCGTAAAATACTAGTGTAAATTTAAACCTTCATGTACTTTTCAGAGAGAGAGAGAGAGAGAGTCTTTATAATAAAGGCAAACCTTGATTAATGGAATACTCGATAAAGACAAAATACGACAGGATTAGTATTTACCGATAGACACAAAAGACGATATGATTACTGATAGACACAAAAGACACAAAAGACGATATGATTACTGATAGACACAAAAGACGATAGGAAAAGAACTTATAGGATACAAGCACGACACGACATAAATGAAACGTTGTAGATGTTGTGTATATAGAGTGTAATTCTAATTACTTGTGTATATACAGTTATTCAACGTTTTTTAATAAGATATGGAATTTATTTCTTGAGTTGGACAGGATATTTTTTTAATTGTCACGAGTGCGATTGTGAGATTGAAAACATTGTAGACATGGATTTCAACATCATATTTGGAGAAATACTTCAAATTGGCAGTTTCATAAGTTAGTTTCTGACCCGATGTTTTATTACTCTCTGTATCACAACAGACCAGAGATTATTTTTTACAGCTCTCTATGAAGGGAACCCAAATTGAGAGTTTAGCAACGCTTTTGATATTCTTTCACATCGTGGCAATATATCACTCTGATATTCTTTAACACCGTGACAATATATCACTTTTATTCAATAAAAAAAATAAATATTTCATTGTTGAGAATATAATCAAAGTAGCATATTTACATAATATAAGTATATGTTTTCCACATTTTGAAAAATAAGAAGAAACAAATATACATTTATTAAGTTAAAGAAAAATATGTTTATTCAAATATATTTTATATAGATATATTGAATTTATCAGCCATATAAACAATCATTCCTTTTTGACTACCGTAAAGTAATATACCGTGTATTAAAAAAAAAAATCCGGGTTAATATAGCCAAAGGTGATTTCCTGGAGGAGAGCTTCAACGGCCGGAGATTTTACACAAAATCTAAATACAGTAAAACTCTTTTAATACGAAAACAGATAAAGCGAATTTACGGATATTGCGAAGTTTTTAACAATTCCTTGTAAAATGGTATGGATTTTTGTTTATAGAGAACTCAGATATTCAAATTTACGGATATAGCGAACTGATTTTGTGACCCATAGTGGTTAAAAAACGAATTCTTAAGATTTCAAAATGAAAACTTTAAACTGAGATCATTTTTTTGAAATGAATAAAGAGGATTTTTTAATATATTTTATTACGTACGATGGTCTTCCAGAAAATCACACATGGCTATATGAACCTAGAATTTTATATCTGTTTGTATCTTTAATCTTAGTATATCCAAAAGTTTGTAAAAATATAAATCACACAGAAAATGTAGTATTAATTAAAGACTGTTGATTGTATATTAATAACTACATGTATATTTTATGATTCTGTTACTCAAAGTAATAATTACATACTTACGAATTAGTGAAAATTAGCTACCTTATTCATAACACTTTTCCCGCCTTCAGGTGAGAACTGGCCAATGAATATGCTTGGTTCGAGATCAAGGTCTAGTGTATCTAGGAGTCTTCCCCCAGAGGCTTCCAGTAAGTTTGTTATTGGTCGTAAAAATTGAACTTTACATAAACATTTTTTGATGAATAAAACCAGTTTTTAATGGTTAAATTATATTTCTATATATAATTTTTGAGATGTTTTATTTCATAAATTGGTTTTTCGTTCCCTTTAGATATGTTATGGTCGCTTTCCTCCTCAATGAATGGAGGGATTCCCCGAGGGGGCTCTGGTAGGTTTTATAGCATGATCAAAAATATCATTATAAATTATCTATCAGCTAAATTTTTATCACATGGTAAATATATCACTTGAAATTCATAGTTTCTATGTTTTTATCATGAAATTTGTTTAATCAATACTAAAGACTGATAATTTTAACATGCATGTTTTTTGAAAGAAGCAAATATTTTCCATATAAAAATGATATACGCTTTGTAAAACGAATTTACCTAAATCCTGAATTGCAATGTCACATCAAAGTCCATACACCATCTGTGAAAAAGAAATATTACTGCGTTTCTCGTATTTCTCTTGTGAGGTTCACTAACATCACATGCGATCAGAATGAAATACTTCGAAAGAATAGAGAAAACCGCGCTCAAACATTTGCTTTGTTTTATTGTAACAGCATTCCGTTCTGTATCCAATCGAATTTACCCCAGAAGAGGTGAGTATGTTTCTTTTCCCACGTGACAGTTCTAATGTATTTTCATAGTTTATTGAGTCAAATTAGATATATTATCATGTATAAAAGCATTGTTAATTTTATTATATAAGCATGACTTCCAAATATATTTACGAATATAAAATTCAATTTATATTCAATATGATATGCTTTGTACATACGTATATATATATCATTTAATATGAAATACAATATACTCACTATTTATCTATCTATTTCAATGTAGTCAACAATATATATTCAATGACATGTATCTCACGTTTTATATCTTTTAAAATTCATGATTTCCTTCCCAAATTGAAATTCTGCTCAGAACGGAAATTTTCCATAAGTTGTACTTTAGTAAAACTGTTAAAGAAATTGCAACTTTTGTAAAATTCTTGGTGCGTGTTGCAGGATCGCAGTTTGTTCAGAGAAGACAGATGAATCAGGTGCTGCCCTGGATGATGGCGGCTGATATGGACGCAGCTGAAGAATGGATGCCGTTTATGATGCTAAATTCTTTGTAAAATGAATAAACATTCATTAAACATTTATCTTTCTATTGGGTTTCTTTTATGATATGTGTGTGTTATTCAAAAAGTGTGATGTGATGTGACATTTTGTATACTCAATTGATGATCACTGTAAATTCAAAACATTTCTAATTTACAAAGGACTTTGTAAAGCAATTAATCAAGTTTTAAGCAATTTCATTTCTACACAATTTTGATTTTAAGTGCTCATGGCTACGTTTGATTATTTTTTCAATACATTCATATAAAAGGTAAAGTAAGAAAACTTTACCTGGATCCCTTTCCATAAATACGCCACGGAGGATGAGTTCAGGAATGTATGTCAATACATTCACTTGTCATTGAAACTTCTATATTAGAAACTCTTAAATATTTTTCCTACGATTTTGTGGTTGCGATACATTTCAACCCAGGTATATTTACCCAAAATTTTGTGTGTAAAAAATTAAGCAATTTACCCCAAATAAAATGTATAAAAGGACGCGTATGAAAACAAGATAATGTGAGAAACTGGAAGTTCAGAAGAATCCGCGTGCCTGTTTAAAATTTCTGTAAAATTCGTCATTGAAATAACAAAAAATGGATAAAGTGTTCGATCTTCACAATTTCCAATTTTTCCTCGTCTTTAAAATTTTAAATCTACCGACGTAACGGATACAGAATGGTACAATATTAAGCATTTTGTGTTTCTCTTTTGCATTTGGTGAAACATACAGACTATATTTCAATGTAATATATTGTAGTAATACGGTAAAGCTATATGCTTTACTATGCTGGATAGACTTATGCATTCCGAATAGAACCCAGTGGATGTTTTTTTTTAAATCAGAAATTAGAATTAGATTAAGAAATTGTTTTTTGACATATGGAAATATTATTAAGAATGCAAATTCAATAATCTAAAAATTAAATAATCTAAATACCACATGATTCTTTTCTGAACATTGTCAAGTCTTTTTTATGCATCCCTTTTTGGTGATAAATATAATAACCATGTTTCTATATATTACAGAGGGTTTGGTCAATCTCCAAAGTATGCTAGGAAATAGACATCAAAAGCGAAGAAGGGTTTTACAACCTGTTGTGGTCAGACCACATATAGTGAGACAGAACCAAGATAGAGGTAGGTATAAAGCTACAATTAACCGTACCTAAATTAGACAGAGACTAAACAATACATGAAGGATTTAACAGGGGGGGGGGGGGCTGTTACAAATAACCGTACCTAAATAAGACAGACATGAAGGATTTAACAGAGGGGGGGGGGGGGCTGTTACAAATAACCATACCTAGATAAGACAGACTAAACGACAAAGATGAAGGTTTAAATCAAAGGAAACAATTAAAATTTACCGTACCTAGATCAAACTGTGAAAAATCCAAAATAAAGGTAAGTACATGTAAATGTAAGTGAAAATTGTTACAATGTGTATAATTATGTGTTCGTGCGTGCGTGGGTGCGTGCATGCATATAAGAGAGAGAAAGAGAGAGATATCCTATCTCCATTAAAAATCATCAAGGTAAAGACACAATTCAACACTTACAGCTAACTTACAGTAACAATTTGCTAAATAAAATTGTGGGCATTAGAGCTGTTGAGCAGTTCCATGCATTGATAAACTTTGTATCTTAACAAATATATATGTTTTAAAATTGTTTCTTCATCATTTATGACCACATTAATTACAAAAGTTAATTTTAATCTTTGTGTGCACCGTTATGGAACTGTAATATGAATTTTAAAAATCGTGATACTATTTCTGTACTAGATATGCAGCAGTTGATGCAGTTATTGCCCCTTCTATCAATGACTGAAGCAGGTGAAGGTATGATGGAAATGCTACCTCTGTTACTTATGCAGAAAAACACACGATTTTGATTCATCATCGACCTTTGTTCCTCACCTCCTGAAGTCATCCCGATGAATGCTATGTTTAGCTTTTATTTGATTAAAAGAAAGATGTGTTAAATTGAATAAATATAATTTTATTTCATTTTTTTTTTAATTGTAATTTTCCTAGATTCTATCATATTTTACTTTAATTTGTAATTGATTTCATGTGTCATCATTTCAGAAAAAGTAATCATATGGAATATACATGTACATGGAGTTTTCATTTAATTATTTTATTATGTAAATGCTTTACGAGTTTATCTTGGTGTAAATATTCTCAAACCCAAAGCTTAATTAAGTTTTCATTCCCTTGTTTAGTTTGTATGTAGCATTTCAGTATACTCATAGATGAAATATGAAGATAACGAACGACATTCAAGCTCAAAGTCAATAAAAACAATATAAATTGAGAATAGAGCAAACATGAATCTCCAATAACATCAGATGTGGGATCAGGTGCTATGGAGAAGTGAGCATCCCCTGCGGTCACACCCGCCGTGTACTCGTTGTCATGATCGGGAAATAATGGGAAAATCCGTCGACAATTCAGTGTGTGAATAATGGCCTAACAATTAGTATGAAAAACGTCAGTCAGCATACTTAATGATAGATTGTATTTGCTGATAAGGTCATTGTATCGACCATAGAACTTAGAAATGATGACTTTAGACGAGACTGTTGATATTCTTTTTTCGTCATCTTGTTTGTCAATGATTTACCTCGTTTTAGAAATTGTTCATACGTAGAGCATGTACTTGCGTATTGAATCAACTGGGAGACAAAAACCCCATATGCAGGTGATAAGGGTATATTGCTACATAAGTAAGGGAAGTTGACGATTGAAAAGTTAAAGTTATCAAGTTTATCATAAAGCTTTCTTGTTAGATTATCATTAAAGTCTTTTTCTAGTAAAATATCCAACTATGAAAGAGATATGTAAGAATCTGTAGTATCGTTTATTTCAAGCTTAGACGATATTTTTTTTTCTTTTATGAACCGTGGAATAAAGTGAAACAACATTTGGTAAATTACTGGTATTTTGCTTGTGTCAGAAAACAACCATGGTCATTTGGAGTATATCTATTGGCGAGTTGAAGGAAATGTTGATTTTTCAATCTGACTGTTTTAATGAAAAAAAAACGGTTCTTTATAGAAATACTCATGCTTAGTTGGACAGTTATAAATATTTATCAATACATCAGCAGAAAGATATCAATAGGACTAAAAATGTGAACTTTGTATTTTGATGAAGGAATATTGTGCTTTCAATTTGTGTATTAATTTAAAACCATATGAATGAAAGTGATGGAAACTTACTTCTGTTAAGAAGTAAATAAAAAACATTATGGGTGTCTTAGTGGTATCAAAATAATATTATATTTTCTATAAAATTTGAAATCTGAATTAAAGGTATAAAAAGGGAAAAACAATGAAAGGTGCTTTTGTAGCAAATGCCACAATTAAACATCAATGATATAAAATTATTGAACATATTTACATTTGACTTATTTATAGAAAATATAAATTCATTATTAGACTTATGGAAGAAAATTGTCAACAAGCAGTTAGCTAGTTGTTTTTTTTTCAATGTATGAGGTTTTATTATTTAATATCATGTCCAACTAGTGGAGTGAAGCTCTTCTGAAGATGTCAATTTATGATGGAATACATGGACAGCAACAACATTCTTTAACGCTTGAAATAATATAGAAGTATAAGTTACAATGATATATATATATAATGTTATATGTTAATTTCAATTTGCAACAAAATTTTAATATTGACACACTACATAAAAGATTTTTCAAACTGTAGACATAAAGTTTTTTCTTCCGTATTTAGTTTGCAGCAATTAGAGATTAGTTTCTTAAAAAATATAATACATAGTTGTTCCTAAGTAAGATCGCTGGCTAAACGAACTTAAAATACTTAGAATAAATGCCACCATGAGGATGATAAACAACCAAATCATAATATGCATTTTGTGTTTATATCATTGAATACGCAAATAATGTCAACATCAGCTAATTACTAACATTTGCAATTTTATCTGTTTTTGCTATTTTTAATGGTAAAAACAATCAGCCAGAATTTTTATCATCAAAAAATTAATCAATTCATTATGTTGTCTGCTTGTATCTGTGAAAATTTTATCAATTTTAAAATACTTAAAATATGAGAAGAATCCATCCTTAAGGAGAATCAGAGCAGGATATATGTCAAGTGACTCAACTGACTACGACATAGTTGATGCAGATGCTAAACGTTGTTAATATCATCAGTAATCGTGTAATTCTGTATAACTCTAAGCTTCAACATAAAACATGAAAATATTAAAAAGGTTTTTAACAATTTAGTCAACATTTACCCATTGTGAATTGATTGATTTACTCCTATGTTTCCTTAAACAGAGCACCTAACAAGTCAGTGACGTCATATCTGATTTGTTAGTATAGCAAGATCAAGTACACGTTTATTACGTGGTAAGATTTTATTACATAAAAACAGGTCATAATCAGTGCATTGTTAGGGTTATTTTGAAACAGGGAACAATAATAATATTTGCGAGAATAGTAGCAGATATTCGATGTATTTATACTCTAATCTGCTAGTTAAGTTTTTGTGATGTCATATAGTTTTTTAATGTCGTCTTGCTTATGTAAAGTGATCTTTTTGCCAAGGCTCGGGAATTAATAAACACAACTCGTCAGATAAAAATCTTAACGAACACAAATCATGGGAGATCATACAAAAAACCAAAAACAATGTAATATTATATTGTGTCGGATATATTTAATATATACATAAAAACATACAAAAAACCCAAAAAACTGTAATATTATATTGTGTCGGATATATTTAATATATACATAAAAACATACAAAAAGCCAAAAACACTGTAATATTATATTGTGTCGGATATATTTAATATATACATAAAAACATACAAAAAACCAAAAACACTGTAATATTATATTGTGTCGGATATATTTAATATATACATAAAAACAAGGTCATGAATTAAAAAATGAAAATTATTCAAAGCACCAAAAATGACCAACGATACGAACAACAGAAATTGTCAATTCTTTTGGAACGCCCTATCCCTTCCTCAGGACAACGAAAAAGTTAAAAAGTCAAATGAACAAAAAAAAATTGAAAGCAAAAACAACTACCTCTCCAACTAAACTAAACTTTCAACTGACAATATTAAATGCTGCCGAAAAATACTGGAAATTTTTTCTCGGTGAACTTGCGTGTAGAAGTTGTACACTATGGATGTTACGACTTCATTATCCTGATCAGCAATAACAAGGAGGTTTTATACAGGCACTAAACAGGGGACACATCGAAGTCATTGTATTACCAGCATACGCTACAAGTCAAAAGAAATATTCATTACATTTCAACAATGAAAATATAAATATATATATCATCTATATTTATTTAAGGAATGAAATTGATAGCTACCCATTTTATATGGTATAAACTGGGTTGGGGCAGTTTACACTTTATAAACCGCGAAGCGGTTTATAAAAAAGCGTAAACTGTTCCAACCCAGTTTATACCGTATAAATTGGGTAGCTATTAAATTCATTCCTTATAATTTAATTTTCATTCATTTGATGTTAGGAAAAAAAGGACGATTGTCCTTAAAAAATGACTACAATTTGTTCAAAATTTGAATGTAACGTCAGGCGGATCGATACGTTTTTGACGCAAGTTATTGTGACGTAAGCAACCCATTTTATACGATATAAAGTAAATTTTTTATCCAATCAAATACAGCGTTACAACCAGAATTAAAATATACTAAAATAACCGAAATATAAAAATAAAAAATAACCGAAAATAGCTATCAATAATCCGAATCTCATTAACTCATTAATCCAGCCAAAAATACAAATCTTGGACAGGGCAAAAAATCGGACTCCCTCTTTTTCCCTCCCATAAACAGACTAAACGGCCAAAGTTTCTCTGAATTTATTGTCGATATCATACTGGCAAATGGGTGCGTGGAGGTAGGGGTCATCAAGTGAATCGCACAGAAATACATGTTTTTGTTACGATCTTTGATCGCTATTCTTGAGTTTTGTCTTATCTTTATGAACTTTTGAATGGATTTATCTTATAATTATTCAATTGTATTGAAGACCCGAGCATTAAAGATAAATTACCTAATTTAAAATAAAGAAAAGATTCATACCTGCTTTGTCACAAGACGTTGATTCATCATCGCCAAATTTTTCTGGTCAATATAAAAAAAGAAATCATGATATAAAAATTTGCCTGATTTGTAAAATATAAAGTTATAAATCTATTTATCGAACATTATTATATGTATATATTTTACAACTGTAATTATTACTCTTTCTTCGAAGCAGGGTTTATGAATGCTCTTTTTAAAGATTGGTTAGAGAATTTATATTTTCAAACAAAATAAACTAATTTAAAATATAACGAATTGAAAAGGAAGGAGAAATGTCAGAAGATTTTCAAACATCCTCAAATAAGATTTTTTTTTAATTTGTAAAATTTTATTTCTCATCAAAACACTAAGATATACTCGTATATGCATCAAAATCATTATTAATTTCAAACAAAAGTAGTTTTTCTTGCACATTTCATAAAGGTTTATTTCTATAATCTAATTTTTTTTTTACCTTGAACATTTACAAACTATATTAATTTCCAAGAATGAAAGAATAATCCAAAAATTGCATCCATTTCAGAAATGTGTTTTCGTGTACAGGTGTGACATTTCGCGCTTCAAGGTGTTAACGGATTACCTCATTTCATATAAAAAGAAATTCACAGAGTTTTAAAACTGGTCCTGGTGACTGCTATAGTCAATACCTCAAACCATTTTAATGATACAAAATTAACAGAATTTATCAAACCCAACAGAAACTCAAAAAGAAATTCTTACCTGTCAGGTAAATAACAAGAATTGTGATGAAAGCGATGAGGGTCAAGACGAGTAAGACAACGAGAACGATGATAAATTTGGTTCCAGTCGGCACACTGGTTTTAGTTTGCGTCCCCTCTTGTAAGAAGAAAAAAATCATGAATGTTTATCATAAAAGGAAAATATTGA